TGGCGAGATTGAGATATCATTGCGGGTTCTTGGTAACAGGGGTTGCAAGAGTGTTGAACCTTCTGGTGGTGGCTGGTGGAATTGCGGCTATTGTGATGGTTTTTGTGATAGAGAAGACCCCCCAATCTGTGGTAGGACTGGGATTGATTGGTGTGGGTGTCGTTTCTGTCGTCACTGGCATGATCGGTGTGTGTGCCGCTTCACGAAACTCGTGCTTTGGATGTTACCTGTTGCTAGCCATTTTGACGGCGGGAGCGCTTGCCACGTCAGCTCTGTCCATCTACTTGCGTCCGAATGAGGTTAGGAGTAGACTTCACCCGCGAGGGAACACGTCGGATGCCGATGTGAAGCAGATCTTGAGGATTCAAGGAGGAATTTTCGCGGGAATGTTCGTGGTGAGCGTAGCGGGTATCGTCTTGGCCTTCTTCATCAGTTGTTGTGACCTGGTGAATTACAATTACGAGGATTTGGAGTCGTCGGACAGAAGGCGGACAGATCTGCAGAAAATCAGGGAGGATGCGAAGAAGGGGGTCGACAAGAAGGCTCCCTCGAGAGCAGCGGCTCTCGCGGACAAGATGAGAGAAAAGTACGGCAAGTTCTCCGATGAGTTCGGAGGAAAGTAGGAAAATCTATGTCAGAGGAGAGAGAGAGAGAGAGAGCTGTCTCTTATACACATCTAGATGTGTATAAGAGACAGGGCCGGGCAACTGGCCCCGGACCACTCTGGTAGCCTAGATTTATACGCGATACATAAAAATACAAAATTTATAAATAAAAACATATTTGTTGCATGAACTTGTTTCCTAGTCGTTTTAAGCATATGCATATAATAAGGAGGGGTTTATGCACAAAATGTTTATGTTATTGACTTTGTAATTATTCGTCGTGTTGTTTTGAATCTTGTTAATGCTCTTACTAGTTATTTTTTATTTCTACTATCGGTCTTATTCCTTGTTCAACATATTTTTTCGTTGTTCTTTTCTCTTTTGTGTCATACTTCTGATTTTGTTATTGTTCATAGTCCTCCGCCCGATCTTGTTTTGGTTTCAATCCTGATCATTGTATAAAATACTATAAATCGATTTGTATACATGATCCTATTAAAGTTCATCATTACAATTTTATGTATGAATTGAAGAAAATATATTTTTATCCCAGGTTACCAGAGTGGTCCGGGTCCATTTGCCCAACCGGGTTAAAAAATATAAAAAAATAAAAAAATAAAAATTAAATTTTCAATTATTTTATTTTATTTTTAATTTGTTAAAGAATTTCAATGTGACCCTAAGACAAAAGTTGTTCTGTTTATTGTTTTGCATAACATTTTTTTTTTTTTTTTTTTTTTTTTTTTTTTTTTGGGACCTTCTCTGGTCCTTGCACGGTTGGGCCGCCCGGGAAAATAGGGTGACCCGGGCGGCCCGGCTACCGTCTTCCTCCGAACGCAACGCACCCTCCTGTCTCTTATACACATCTAGATGTGTATAAGAGACAGTCCCTGGTCCTTGCACGGTTGGGCCGCCCGGGAAAATAGGGTGACCCGGGCGGCCCGACTGGTAGCCTAGTTTTTATCTCACCGCATAGTTTTTTTGTTTTTTTTTTGCTTTTAAATACA